CAGAGACTGGTGTTTATATGTGTGTGAGAATGTGTGGGTGTATATTTCAAGGGCTTATTTCCACTAGAAAATTGATATGGGAAATATATATGTTAAGGTACCAATTTTGGGCCTGTTTGTCTTTGACTTTTTCTGAATTTCCTGAGGTTCCCAGTTAGTTTAAATATATTCGAAGACCAGGGCTGAATGAGAAGAATAGAATAACATGATAGAATAACATCTTTTTTAGCAACAAAATGTGATTTTATATACTGACTTTGGTTTGGGATTCTGATTTCTTATTCTGTAGGCTCAAATGTCCCGATTTACACTTTGCATATATTGCTATCAACTATTCTTTGGTCTTTATGCAAATCTTACATGCTAGACACATTATTTTGGCATTTATTACTAGCTAAATAGTAATTGCTACCCACTCAAAGAGTACAATATTCAAATGAGCGCTGAGTAACATTTGGGATTTAGTGTGCCTGTCATGAATATTCATTTTAATATTTTACCTGTCCGCTTCAAGATTTTGCCAATACAAATCCATGTTGTTCAAAATGCTATATTGCTTAGTTACGTAGCTGAGGTGTCCAGTCTCCTCTTTTCCAACTTGGGGCACTGTAGTATGCTTAGTTAAACCCCAAAGTTTAGGTATGGCAACCCAACACTACAACCTCCTAGGCATCCAGCAGGTTATTGGAGGAGGAATTTTTAAGTGATAATGGAAGGAAGGATGGAACACCTACATAGAGATAGGCTCCTACTCACTCAGTAGCCAGAGGCAAGGGGCGGTGACCCAGTGGGTCTGAAGTTTCCACTCCTGCAAAGATAGCAGCTCTTGGGCACTCTAAAAGTGTCCCTGTTGATGGTCTTTCTTTCAGTGCACTGGGCCAAATGGGGTATCCGGGAGTTCTTTGGGGTCAGGAATTAAAGGGAAAAGGCCTTTGGATCCTCTGCCCCTCTTGACAGCACCATTAAGTCTTTCCTGGGTTTCTGATTTTTCTCTTTATTTTATTTATTTATTTATTTATTTTTTTTTATTATTATTTTTTAGCTGAGCCATCCTGCCACCTGTTGGCAGCTCAGTGGCTGCTCAGCTCAGGCTGGGACTTGAACCACTGTTGCTCAGAGCTCAACCTCTTGAGCGAGCTCTTAACCAACTGAGCCACTCGGGCCAGCCCCTTTCTCTTTATTTTAAATTGTGTTCACGTTACTTCTCCATAATAGTCCTTCATAACCCACCGGGAAATACCTAACAACCCATTAGACTTAGAACACAAGCAACAATAAAAAATTGGTTTATCCTCTCCTGGAGGGTAAGTAGGATTCAAGCTTTAGAAAGACAATGCTTGATCTTGTAAGATATTTCCATTGAGGATGGGTAATACCCACACTTGAGGATTAGTCAGCTGGCTTCTTATGTTAACATCAATAATGACAACGACAGCAAAAGGAAAAAAACAAGGTGGTTTTATATAAAAAAAAATCAGTTGAATAGTTCATACTCTTTTGCATTTAAATGAAGGATACATAGAGCAATGGAAAGTTATCTGAATAGTCATTGCAATACAAAATAAATTACTAAAGTAAATAAATTGTAATAACTAGACAGCAACTGCACTTGCATTTTATTAGGCATTCACTAGTGTCAGTCCTATTCCAATACCTTATTTAATTTTGTTTACTCCTTACAAAATTCCTGTGAATTGTTTTTAGACCCATTTTAAAGATGAACACACCAAAGGCTCAGAGATGATAAATAAGTTGGCTTAATGTCAGATGGTTATTACCAAGTGTTTTTAAAAATATTGTGCTAGGATTGGCATTTGAACTCATTTTTTTCTGGCTTGTGTTGATTGCCTTTTCCGTTGTTTCACACTAAAAAAATGTTATGCTGTTCAACTATCTAATATTAGGATTTTGCTTCATTTTATAGATCTCTCCCACATACATACATATATACATACATATATAAATTGATACATACATACATACATATTTTAAAATACGACATGTAATATTATCAGAATAACATAACCGATGAGCCACAAACTCGGTGTCAGATGTGTTGGTCTTACTCATGCTCCACTTGCCCTTTCTCCCTACAAGTAGTAAGGAGTTCGGTTCCACTTTCATCCTACTAAATCAAGGCTTCCTAACCTCAGCATTACTGACATTTGGGAATAGATAATTCTCTGTTGTGGGAGCTGTCCTGTGCGTTGTAGTATGCTTGGCGACATCCTGGTCTCAAGCTACTAGGTGCCAGTAGCACCACCCAGTGTGACAATAAAAAATGTCTCCGTAATCGTTGCCAAATATCCTTTGGGAAGCAAAATCATTCCCAGTTGAGAATGACTGGTGTAAACTCAAAATGAAAGTAACTAAATAAGAGTGTAGTCCCTCTGCTCGGTTTCTTTCCTGCATATTGGAGGCTTTAAGCAATTAATTATTTAGGCTTTGTTATTAGTCAGAACAAGTTAGGTTATGCTGTAGTAACAAGGAATGTCAGAATTGGCTTAACACAATAAGCCATTAGCTCTTGGAGGCAGCTATCCTCCCTGAAGTAGCTTAACATTTCAGGTTATTTCAGTATTCTAGCAGCTTAGCATCCATGTGTGTTTTCATGATCATTGCAACAGGGAGAGAGAGAGAGAGAGAGAGAGAAAGTTGAGAATCATGCATAAGGTCTTAAATATGTCCCTCTGGAAGTGACACATGTCACCTCAGCTCACGTTTTATTGACAAAAGCAAGTCACATGGCCATGTCCAACATGGAGGTAAGGAAGAAACTTAGTCCTCTGTGCTTCAAAGGGGATACCTGGGAGCACTGGCTAGCACCTGTGGTATCTACCATTGTCATTCAGACAACTACTGTCTGAATGTCCTGTAATGAACCTAGTCAAGTTCTAGGTGGCATGATTAAGTCAAGTTTGAAATAAAGTACCCATTAGTTCTGGAGGGAATGTACACATGTGAAATAATTGGTGAGCAAGGCAATGTAAACTGTATACAATAGGTTATAACAATATGCATTACATTTATATATTAATTTGGAAAATATTTACATTTTATGATAGTCACATTTTGTACTTTTAAATCTTCCAATTTAAAAGCATGGTATGTCTTTTGGGTTCTGGGACCCAGTTCCACTGTGTGAGGGAAAGGGGGTTTCCCCACACATCCAAACAATTCTCCAGGCACCACCATGGTGTCCTATAATTCAACTCAATTCTGACCATATCTACCTGGGGATAGCAACAGATTCCACAGGTTAAGGGCTCAGTCCTACAAAGCTGCCCACTCTCACCCCCACCCGTTCCACTTCAGATGCCAGTTACAAGTCCAGATTCTTACCTGAAAGTCTGACCTGCTGCCTATAAATCAGAGGTTCTCATGACCCCATCCTTCCTTGAGTTCGATTAATTTTTTAGAGCAATTTGCAGAAGTCAGAGAAGCATTTACTTACTAGATCACCAGTTTATTATAAATGGATGTAACTCAGGAACACTCAGATGGAAGAGACACATAGGGCAAGGCATGGGGAAGGGGCACAGAGCTTCCATGCCCTCTCCAAGCACACTACTGTCCCTAAGTGCCATGTGTTCACCAGCCCAGAAGCTTGACCCCAACCTTTCAGGTTTTAATGGCGGTTTCTTTACATAGATATGAGTGATTAAATCGTTGGCCTTTGGGGATTGATTCAACCTCCATCCACTCTCCCTTCCAGGAGGTTTGGGTGGGACTGAAAGTTCCAACCCTCTAATCACTTGGTTGAGCCTCCTGGCAACATGGTACATCCTTAGGTATGGCTCCAAAGGTCACACATTAACATAACAAAAGACACCTTTAAGTCTCTTATCGCTTGGGAAATTCCAAGGGTTTTGGGCTCTGTGTCAGAACCCCAAGACCAAATACTGGGGGTGCCAAAAAAATGTATACGTGATTCATCTTTTGTTACGGTGTATATTGAGTATTATAATTTTGATACAGTTTTTCCTTTCTTAAAATATGTATACTATTTTTTGGTACCCTCTGTATATATGTCACATTATAAAGCACAATATCACAATGTGTCTTTCTATTTGTTGTCGTTTTAATGTCCTCCAATAAAATTACATAGTTCTTTCTGGTAAATGTATTCCTAGATTTTTAAAAATTTTGTTATTGTTTTTTGATAAGATTCCCTCCCCCTCCCCCCCAATCCCACTTCATTTCTACCTGGCTATTGCTAGTACAGAGAAAAACTGATTTTTCTATATTTTCCCTCACGCAGATATCTTAATCTTAATATTTTTAATACTTTGCATAGTTTTGTAGTTGAATCTCTTAGGGAGTGGCTGTCAAGATTTGGCCCCTGAATTAGGATATTTATATAGAATCATACTTGAAAAAAATATTTATAATGCTTTCTCTTTTTTATAGGTGGTTATATTTCCTTCTACTTACCTTGTAGCATTAGATGAAACATAGAACAGTATTGGGTACTAATGGAAATAATCTTTACTTTGATTTTATTTAAAAGACTGTTTGTTAGTTTCTGGTATTCAGCATGTTTAAAAGGTCTCATACAATTTGAAATTTTTATATAGCGTTTTAAACAGGAATGATTGCTGAATTTTAGCAAATGTTTTCCAGAATTTATTAATATAACCAAAGAAGCTTTGCCTTTAATTTGCTAATATTTATGTTGATGCATTTCCTAATGTCGAACCACATATATATTCATGGAATAAGTATAACTTGGTCAGCTTATTTTTATATATTGCTAGATTTGGTTTGCTAATAATGCCTATTTCGTGGCATTCTAGTTAATTGAATTATTTGCTTCCCCTAAAACACCACCACCAGTATTTTCCTTCTTTTAGTAATAATGGTGATTCTCATATTTTTTATATTGCTGTTCCTCTGCCAGATTTAAAATTTAGTTGAATTTTAATAATACGTGTTGCATGCAGCTCCTCTGATCTCGAATTATAACAATAGTAAGGGTTGACTTCATATGTTCTCATTAGAATTCTACCAAATATCTGGCTGGGTAGCTGTCCTCGCCAAGTGGAACACGTAACCATCAAACTGAAGCACGAATTGGGGATTACAGCTGTAATGAATTTCCAGACCGAATGGGATATTGTGCAGAATTCCTCAGGCTGTAACCGCTATCCAGAGCCCATGACTTCAGACACTATGATTAAGCTGTACAAGGAAGAAGGCTTGGTCTACATCTGGATGCCGACACCAGATATGAGCACCGAAGGTAAGCGTCAGAAGAACAGTTCTGGCCCCTTGTGGAATGTGTTTCCAAGGAGTCCTTGCTATCTGCCTATCTGATCTATCTATCTATCCATCTATCTACCTACCTACCTACTACATACCTATCTGTCTACCTTTCTGTCTAATTGAATGACCTAACAGTGAATGATAAAAATAGAATAAAGATAAGGGTTTAGGTTTAATATATTTAATATATATCTTTTGATACCTTGTCTAAAATTCTTTTTAGCATATGTCATTTGATTTGTTTATTCATTAAACATGTATTTATTGTGTATGTGCTGTGCATGTGGCGTTATGCTGGTGGCTGGGAATACAGCCCGGAAGAAAGGCAGGTTTATAGTCCTATAGGAGAGACAAGCACTAATCAAATGACTACAAATAGAGCTTTGAAACTGTGATGAGCTCTTTGTTGTTAGAAAGATACATAGTGTACTGGCGTAGAATTAACCCCTGGTCGTTTGCAGAATGTAAAAGAATTCACAGACTCTAAAGGATAGAAGTTAGAAGGTTTATTTAAGAAGAAAGGTGCTGGTAGAGTGGCTGCCAGGGGCAGTCTGGCGTGGACAACTAACTGCACCTTACTTTAGGTTAGCTTTTTCTTATATAGGAAAAGGGGAGTCAGTCAGGCAGGTCTGAGGGCTGACATCGCTTCCTGAGTTCTGGTCTGTTTGAAGATAATCTCCGGACTATGCATTACCTGTAAAAACTGCAAGGGAGCAAATTGGATTCCAGTGTCCAGATGCCTGAGGATTAAGAAATAGCTCTTTTTCTGACTCATAACATAGATATTGCTATGGGAGCATGCACAGGCAAATGAGACGCAGGAAAGGGGGCCGGGGGATCAGGAAAGGTGTTCTTGGGAAGTAACGTTTGAATTAAGATCTGAAGAGAGATGGGGTTGGGAGTGAGATCCGAAAGAGGCTCCCAGAAAGAGGGAGCAGCTTGAGAAGAACCCCCATTGCAGCAGAGCTCAGAGGGTTGTAGGAGCTGGGAGTAGGCCAGCGTGACTGCAGGCCAGAGAGAAGAAAGGAAGCAAGTCTCATAGAATTTGGGCCACAATAAGGATTTTAGACTTTATCCTAAAGCGGTGAGAAGCAGTTGAAAGAGCAGGAGGCTGGGAATTACCCAGATAGCCATTCCCTACCCTCACCCACCCACCCCCACCCCGGCTCTAAAAGTGCACTTTGATTGCAGCATAGAGAATGGATTGGGGTGGGCCCAGAGTGGGGTCTGGAGATGCCAGTTAGGAGGTTCCTGCAATGTTAACGTGAGAGATGATGAGAAAGATAACGTAACAGTGAGGCGGCGTTTATTGCACAAGTACTGGCTGAGCGTGTTTTTGTGAAGAGAGGATTATGGTGTGACTTGGGTGCTGCCAGGGAAACACAGACAGGTAAGGCATAGTTTTGATCTAATGGTAAGAGGCAGTAAGACAAGTTCAAAACTAACTACAGTACAGAAAAGAATGAGTCACGTGCCCTAGGAGGGTCATGTTGTGCAGGAGTACGTTCTGTGGAGGCGACCTGAGTGTCGTGGCATTTGAGGTGGGCACGACAGGTCAGTGTGGAGGGACAAAAGGCATGCCAGGTGCAACACACGGCACAGGCTGAGGCACAGAGGCATGGGATTTTAGAGGAATGACCTACAATATGTTTCAGCCTGGCTGTAGTACAGGGTTCTTGCAGGAAAGGAATGGAGATAATCTGAATCCCAAAGAACCAAGTTACACTAATAGTATCAATTAGATGTCAGCAGGGGGCAGCAGAGAGCTATGGAAATTGCACAGGCTGGAGGGAGGCTGGCCAAACTGCCATTTCTTTTGCGGGGAAAGAAGGAAGAAGGTGATGCCTAAAAAGGAAGTGTTCTATTATCAACCTTCTTCCTCCAAAAGTACATTGTGTATCAAACACTATTCTAAGAAATTGCATGTGTTAATTCATTTAATTCTCTCGACAAGAATCTGGGCAGATTATTATAGTTATCTCCATCTTGCAGACGGAGAGACCGAGGTACAAAAATGTTAAGTACCCTGGACAAGGTACATAACAGAGACATAGGCTGGATTTCATCGCCGGCAGTCACACTTGGAACACTGCTCCAGACTCCACACACGCTCCCATGGACTGTTCAGGCACAGTCTACAGGCCAGCACACTTTCAATCCGCCATGTGCATCACCAGCGGGATTTAGGCAAAGTCATGAGTTTCCGAGGAGGTAGCTTGTCTCCCCGACGTCAATAGTCCAATGGAAACAAGAAGGCCTGGAGAATCACAGGTTGCCTGGCCCTTGGCCTCACGTGCTCCAGTTGGCCGGGCTGGACCCCTTTGTGGGTCTGTGTCTGAACCGTCACTAGAGATGAGGTATAATTTTTGCTCCTTAAGGAGAGTACAGTTTGGTTACTCCTCCTGGTAACGCTGATCCAAAGGAGCTTGATTTTATCACAAGAGCTGTCTTTTTTCAAGAAAGAAAGAAAGAAAGAAAAAACTCTTGTTTGCACAGAAGAGCACTGGATGAATCTAGATTTATTTGTCCTGTCCAGCTTGTGTCTCTGGTTCCAAAACAGAGAAAATTGTTAGGATAGTGTGTCTATAGCTTCCAGAGGCTGTTTGGATGTTGGCTTTCCTGATTCTAGTTTTGTAGCTTTGTATTCCCACTGGAGAATGATGTGAAACAAAGTGCAGAGAAGTTGAAATAAGTGGGTGTGCCTTCCATTGCTCCCCATGCACTGACTACTGAAGGCCCTGCTCACTAATCAGCAATTTGCTTGATAGTTTGGGGGTACGTAGAAGCCTGAGGGAAAACTATCCCCAAAGACCCACTGTAGTTGTATTAAGACCTTTTTGGGGGGTTACAGGGTCACCCGGTACTAGTCACAACAGTGGAGCGTCTTCCACACTGAGGTGGTTTGGCAACACAAAATGATAGCAAAATGAAAGCAACTACATGAAAAAGGCCAAACTCCAAGACTAAATAAAGGGTTTCTTTGGCTCAGCATAACCTGGGGAGTAATCAAAGAGTTAACGACCATCCCGGAGTTGCTGAGGAATTTTTGACCAATAGATCAATCTATGCGGCTCATAATATTAGCACAGTGAAGATATAGATTAATTCTGCTGAATATTTTTAGAACGCCAGAGAAAAATCCATAGGATTTGTCTTGAGCTGCAGCATAGTGCTGTCAGATAAAGCCTGAGAAAGAAGACAGTTTGTTAGGACTGACTGTCACCCTTGGTTGTCACAGACCTGTTACGATCAATTGTGCCATCGATCCTTATCTTGTACATTTTGTCATATGCAGAGGGGTGGGTTAGGTGTTTTCTTTTTTTTTCTGAAATTTTGGTTTGTATCTTTCACCTGAGAAACGAAAAGCTCCCAAATCTAGCCGTTACCTGAAAAATGCCACATCTGTTAAGATTCAGTTTTCCTGTACATGGGAAGTACTCGGTTGTGTTCTGTCCTCTGTCAGGACAGTGCTTGGGTAACAAATGGTCTCTCCTGGCCGATCAAGCAGTTAATATGCTGTCGAGTCCTCAGCTACCCGTTGGCTGCCACAGTCTGAGTTATTTTTTCTGATTCAACACAGTGAATCCAGCTCTGCCGTGAGGCAGAGACCCTGACCTTGGAGACATCGCTCCTGGGTCTGAGCCTTGTCACCACTGCGTGGCTGGCTGTGTGATACTGGGCAGGCTAGCTCCTGCATTTGGCGAATAGGGATAATAATTCCTGCCTTACAGGGTTATAACAACAGAATAAGATGATGGATATGAAAGGGCTTCGAGAATCACAAAGTTGGGACTATATGATTAGTTCCAAGTCCTTAAATTTTTACCAAAGGATGTTATAGATAATATGAACCTTATCTATATTACATTGCAAAGGTGGAAAAGAAGATACGCTCAAGTAAAATAATAAAATAATAATATATTCCTCCATAAACCTGCCCTGGATTAAGAGGGGAAAGACACGTGCGTATGTGTGCACGTGTCGGCAAGGCTGAAAGTTGTGCCAGGAATGCTTTCTTTCAGGGTCAGCCTAGGTGAACCTTAGATATCCTCAGGGCCTTCCCTCCGCCACTTATTTCAGGCCCTGATGCCTCAGGGCACCCCATCATACCCTTGTCCTCCTTCACCAGCTTTGCTTGTTCATTTCATGCTTTCATTTAATCATTTAAAATGATTATAAAGAAGCTTTATTGCAGAGTTGCATTAGCTTGGAGAACGTGGGACCAGAAGTTAGGTTAGAGGGGTCCAGTTGTGACTCAGATCAAATCAATATTATTGGGTTTGGTTTTAATTCATGTGCTTAATGAATGTGTTTTGAGTGCCAAGGCCTGCTTTAAATCCAAAATAAGAGTCGCAGACAGTGGAGTGTTTTGTTGGACCTGCACAGGATTTTCAATTTTCAACTTAGTTGCCAACATTTAAAATTTGAACTATTTTACATAAAAAAAAATAATAAATCTGCATTTCTGTCTTGCCTTGAGGTATTACTTTTTTTTAAGAATGTAAACTTTTTGTTAAATTCTATATGAAGCCTAAATATGTGAAACATAACAATTAGGGGCTCTGGTTGACAGTGACTTTATTGTGTGAGCCTTGACCCTGGGGAGCCTCGTCTTATTGCTGGTGGGTCACATCTCAGGCTCCCGAGCTTGGGTTTTCAAGCAGAGGGACTTGGGCAGGTTAGGCACACACGGCACCTCTAGGGAAGAGGCAGAGGTGCTGAACCCCGAGCCAGATGTCACTCTCACACGGGGGTGAAAGCAAAGCATGAGTGGGATGCAGGAGCTGACTGATAACTCAGATTGACAGCCTGGAGCCAGCAAGTGCCACCTTCCAGGCAGGTTAGGGAAGGACAGTGGTGCAGAGGTTAAGACCAGAAGCTCTGGAGCCTGGCCGGCTGGGTATGAATGGCCATTGGGGAATTAGCCTTGGGAAAATCTGTGTGCCTCAGTTTTCTCAAATAGAACAGGATAATAATAATAGTAGCAATCTCAGAGCTGCTAAGAAGTGGTTGTGAAGGAACTACTGAATGCGCAGTGCTTAGAATAGCACCTGGCAGGTGGGAAGGGCTCAGCAGACGTGAGCTGTCATCAGTGCAGGGTGATTTGCAGTCCCTAGAGATCAAAGTAAACGAGGGCCCCCGCTGAGGCCAGGCTGAGACGGCTGGGCATACTGGACCCGCTGCTGCTCTGGTGCCCCTTTGGATTATTTGTCCATTCTTCATGTTAGTTAAATATCTGTCTGACAGTTCTTAAGTGGGATGGCTGAGTGGTTCTCAGAGAAGGCCACCAGCATGTGGAAACTGTGTTTCAACTGGGAGCCTTCTGGGGCCTGTGGATGGCCGCTGACATTTACCTCCCAGGATTACGTGTCTGAGGCCACAGAACCTCAAACGAACACACATGGCATGTCAGCTTCTAAACTGCGTGCATGCCTGTTGAAGCCTCTTTTACAGATCAGAAGGAAACGGGGAGGTGTTGTGTCCTCTGGGCCATGTGATGCAGACCTTCCTCGGGGAAGGGACCCCGCAGGGCCCTGTGAGCCCGGCTTGGGCAGGCCAGCTGCGCTGGGATCGTGGAGGCTGAGCACCGGGGTGCGACTCTGACTGCAGCAGCTCCTACCGCAAGTGGCCGCTGTGGTCTGCTCGGACATTTGGCATTTGATAAAAACACATTAGAAATATTTCGATTTATTTCCTGGCAGTGTACGTGGTAGCTGGAGAGGTAGCTGTCACCTTGGAGGTTTTGCCTCCCTTGATCCCCCAATTCACACAGTGGATCAACTACCATGTTTCTCTGAAAATAAGACCAGGTCTTATATTAATTTTTGCTCAAACAATGTACATTTATTCATTTATTCATGTACAAAAATCTACATTTATTCAAATAGTCATGTCTGGCTGACGATCTTAACTGGGGCTTATGTTTGGGGTAGGGCTTATATTACGAACATCCTGAAAAATCATGCTAGGGCTTATTTTCCAGTTAGGTCTTATTATCAGGGAAACATGGTACACAGTACTCTGCTAGGGACACAGTGAGACATCTCTCTCGTATGATGTTCCGTACCTTGTTACATCTCCAGTGATGTTTTACGCCCTCTAGGAGAGTGCCGCGAAGAACTGTGTGGCAGGCCCACCTCAGAGCACCCTGAAACCAGCACAGAGGTGTAAATCTGTTATAGTTTATGCCTCAGTTTGGAATCCAGCGACACAGAGGAGCTGGTGTGTGTCCATCAGATGCCCTCAGGCCCTAGGGAGAGATGCAGCCTCAGGACACTGCAGTGTGCCCTGCCTAGAGGAAGCCCAGTGAAAACCATCTGTGAACTGCTGTGTGGGGCCTGAGGCTTTAGATCCTGTAGTAGGAGGGACTGACTGAGCACCAGTAGCAACAGGAGAATATCATTCTGGCGCTTCCGTCTCTCAGGGGGTGAGTCTGACGCTAAGACAGACCCCCTGGATGGAGCGTAACTGAGAGGGCCCTAAACCACCATGAGGTCTCCGGGACCATCTGTCCTTCTAAGGTGCTGGCGCCTCACCGCGCTGTGTGGTGCTGGACCCGCCAGGGCACTGGCCTTGTAAGAACATCTGATGAGGCAAGACTGATCTCACATGAGCCACCCCCAGTTCTCCTGGGAGAACTCTGGGCCTCCGTGAAGACCTGCAGTGAAATCGTTTGAGGGCGGGGGCTTTTCCCAGCTCTCTAGTCCTCCAGTGGGCTGGCAGTGTGAAGGCTCTGGCCCTCGGAGGGTCCTTCCAGGGCCACTGTATCTCTGTGTGGTTGAGGACGGAGTGGACATAGTTTTAATCCAGGGCCCTGTGCAGTTTCCCTCTCTCATCCCTTCTTTAAGTAATTTACACTGACCATCTACCTCCCTTCCCCAAAGCCACTAAATATTATATCTTTTCTCAGAAACTCCTGGTATCTAGGAGTTGATGATTTTAGGGGGATCTCTTCCACTAGGATTAAAGAGGGGGGCTTGTCACCAGGCCCCAGCAGAGCATGCATATCCTCTCTCAGTGTGATGAGAAGACATTTGAATCATCTAATAATCGAAATATTGGGTCGTCGGGAAAGTCATGACGTATTTTTCTATGTTTTTCAATGCAAAAATGCCTCATGACTTTCCTGACGACCCAATAGTAGTCATGGAACTGCAATAACTATAATCATAACTGCCCAATAAAGGAGGAACTGAATCAGTTTTAATACACACTGCATCATGAGGGAATAAATGAACCATTGATTATCCCACCCATGTGTATTACTTAATAAGGTAGCCATTCCTTTGGACAAAGGAAAATGAGCATATGTTGAATGAATAAGACTGACTTCTTTAATCAATATGGACTAATTCTGTTTTCCATTTACCTGGAAAATCCTTTTGGATCATAGGAAATTCAGGTGACAGGACCTGTCAGGTTCTCTTTGAAACCGTCTGAACCTCTGCCGGATCTTATACAAACCATTCTGATAGATGGAAATATCCGTTCTTCTGAGGATAAGAAATGGTGAACTTTTCTTTGAAGGGAAATTGGCACCGTCACAGGAGTCACTCAAAGGAGCAGCCAGATCAAATGACAGTGCAGAGCCGACCCACTGCCTGTGCAGGGCTCCTTCCACTTTACTATTAGCAGCTTTTGATATTGTCTCACTTTTTCCTTCGAAATAAAAGGAACGAATTGGGCTCGAATGCCCCCGCCTCTCGCGCCGTGGCGCTGTGATCTCACGGGGCGCTGGAGGCGTTAGTATTAGCGGCGATTCGGGGGTTTCCTTATTCACGTGTCTGTACTGTGTTTTCTCACTCCCAGGCCGAGTGCAGATGCTGCCCCAGGCGGTGTGCCTCCTGCACGCGCTGCTCGAGAACGGACACACCGTGTACGTGCACTGCAACGCCGGGGTGGGCCGGTCCACGGCGGCCGTCTGCGGCTGGCTGCAGTACGTGATGGGCTGGAACGTGAGGAAGGTGCAGTACTTCCTCATGGCCAGAAGGCCGGCTGTGTACATTGACGAAGACGCCTTGGCCCGGGCTGAACAAGACTTTTTTCAGAAATTTGGGAAGGTTCGATCTTCCATATGCAGTGTGTAGGGCTCCCTCCCGGTTTCCTTAGAAAGCTGGGGTGATGATGCTAACTACAATGACCTAGAAACCAAGATTTCGCCTGAAAAGACTGGCTGCTGGCTTCTCCCCCAGCCTGCCTTCTTTAGTCTGGGGCTGACTTTCAGTTATCGTTGGTTGAGCTGTATCATCTCTGAAATATTTTGCAAAGGAAGCCATGACTGACCCGTGAGCAAAAGCCACCAGCAGGTGGGCTGTGCCGTGTTGTTCTAGCGTCAGACAGAAAGAGAATGTGTGCCGTTCCTGCTTCCTGCAAGCGGACTAGCCCTTAGCGTTACAGACGCTGCATCTGTTGTGTTATGAATTCACTGCTGCACTTTCTTGCTGCCTTGTAATGTGACATACAGAAGAAAAGATAGGAGTTGTGTAGAATCCATCACTTGTGCGTACACACACCACGCACCACACACCACATACACACACACGTTCTGCCAAAATTATAAAATGAGAGCTAGCCAGTTGCCAAAAAAGGAAATATGGACTAAACATGACCCAAATCGATGGCTTTCTAGACCTTGTTTTTGCGTCCTGCTCCACGGTTGTTAAAGCCTGTCCCAAGGCTGCACCCCCTTTACCTCCCCACAGCCCTGTGTGACACCCACAGGCAGTTATAATGTCTTTGTTCTCACCGAGGCTCTGTGATCATAGGTCTCAGGGCCAGCTGGGGACTAGCTGGAGTTGGACTCAGTGTTTGTTGTTTTGTCAGCAAACTGTAGTGTATTCAGTTTCTCTGTCTCAAAGTAAGGTTGATGTTTCTGCAGCAGTTTCTATAGTGGGAAATGGAACATTGTTCTGGTCAGTCGCCAAAGAATTTAGAAAAGTAGTTATATTTTGTACAACCTGTCTTAAAATGTGGTGGGCTGTCTCCAGGCCAAAGTGGTCTGTGCCATAGCTCAGAAGAGGAGCTATATTACCAGAAAAGCCCCAAACCATAGATAATTGTTCCACAGCTTGGGAACAAGCCCGACTCCACGCTCAGTTTAATACAATCCACGGTTACTGTGCCTCCAGAATGCGCAACTCCCTACCGTCCCCTAGACGCTACAGGAAACACAAAGGTGAACAAGACCTGGCCTGCAAGAAGCTCGTAGCCTAGACACAGCCCTGTGTTCAGTCAAGTATAACGCAGGATGGAGCTGTGAAAGACACGCTAGACTAGGGGGAGAGGAAGTAACTTTTGTTGGGTGCCTCTTATACACTAGGTGCTTTACAATCTTATCCAATTTAATCTTCGCAGAACCCTGTGAGGGATGTTTCATTATCTCCACTATATAGACGAGGAAACTAAGGCTCAGAGAGGTTAAATCAACTTTCCAGGAGCACATGGTGAGTAAATAAATGAAATGAGATACAAAGCTAGGTTTGTCTGACTCAAAGCCCATACTTTTCCTATTAAGCTATGATGCTTATTTAATTTTCTGCTCCTTCTTCCATAAATGTTTATTGATAGATATGGGAGATTCTGATTTAGGAAGTACGGGGGATAAGAAGGTGCAAGATGGGCCCCAGTGGGGTTCAGAGGAGGGAAAGATGTCTTATAACTGTGGGACTCAGGGAGACGACATTTGATTTGGGCAGTGAAAGCTAGACAAGACACATTTCTCTTACAGTTTTACAAAGTTAAATTTATAAACCAGGATTGAATGATATGGAGTCCAGCTCCCTTGCTAAGAATAACTAGAGAGAACTATTGTATTAAAGTAACCTGTTTATAGTCATAATGTGTTGTGTAAAATTTAATCTTAAAAGTGGAATATTTCTAATTTATTATGTGTGTGTGTGTGTGTGTGTGTGTGTGTGTGTGTGTGAATTTCCTTAATGTCGAAGGAGTCCAGTTACATAATTTACACTACAGGAAAAACTTTTTGGATGGATTTTTAAAATTTTTGCTCTGATAGGCAAAATAATTTTAGGGCTATTAAAGAATGTGTTGGAATAACCTCTCTTGTCTTCAATGAATGGGATATCCAATGTCTTTCAAAATCACCTGGAAATTTTGCTGGATAAAAAAGCATTAAAGATGACTTCTGTGTACAGGATTAAAAAACCCAAAATCCAGTGTTATTAATTTTGTCTGAAATCCATAAAAACAAACTGTGTGTTTCTTATTTGTAATCCAGTGTATTCCTTTATTTTTCAAGACCCAGAGACATCAAATGACTCTTTTACAGAAAAGGGTTTTAACTGCGGGTCAGAGGAAAGGGATGAGCTAGGAAGATTTGTAGGGAGGTTTACTGTGGTGTTGAGGAGTCCCTGGAGAATTGACAGGAAGGAGAGCAGACAGTGCTAGTGGGAAAGAATTCATGGGAGGATCACAGAAAGTGGAGTAAGTGGAAGAAAAATGACTAAAATGAGAAAAAGCAAAGAAAAGTGAAATTTCCAAAAGAAGAAGCAGGTGTATCCTTTTAGAAAGAGTGCTGGGAGGATTGTGAAGGAAGGCGTGACTGTAGGACCAGGCAAGTCGGGTCAAGGTTATGTTCCCAGGCAAAACGGTCAGGCTAGGTATTCACTACAGCAGGAAAAAGGACAGCTGGATGTAACGTGCTGACCGAATAGGAGGGTGGACTGTGCTGTGGCTTATTACCTGCTAGGACAAAAAGGAAGTCTGATAGGAGATGGGACTAAGAATAAAGAGGAAAGGACTGGTGAAGCTACCTCTCATTAGAACAATAATAATGGCACGATAATCAGGGGAAGGGAATAGCAAAAATTACAACTGCGTTCTTTCCTTTCCTAATCCAATATTCCGAAAGTCTTGCCCAATGTAGTTCATGGAAACGTACTTCCAGTTGCTCAGGTTCCACACCTCAGAGTCATTCTTAACTCTTCTCTTCCTTTCAAACATCACATATCATCCATCAGAAAAATCTGCCACCTCTTCTGTCAAAATATCTGTAGCCTAACGATGTTTGACCTCCTCCGCAGAGCACACCTGGTTAGAGCCTAATTAGTGATCTCTAGACTGAACTTCAGAAATCGCCTCCTAACTGGTCTCCCTGTTTCTGTCCTTCGCTCTCAGTCAGCCCCACCACTGTCATATCTACTCTCACCCAGTGGCGGGGGTGATCCTATAAAAATATACGTCAGATCATGCCAACCCTGTGTTCAAAGAAGCCACCAATGACTTGCCATGTCACTCAGGGTAAAAGCCGAAGCCCTTCAAGGACCCACACACGCTGGTCCCCTGGTAGGTCTCTGACCTCATCTCCTGCTGCTTTCTGCCTCACTCCGCTCCAGACATCCTGGCTTTCTTGCCCTTGGAGTATTCCTGACAGCCTCCTCCTTCAGGGCACTTCCTGTCCCTCCGCCTGGAACGCCCTTTTCCAGGTATCAACATGGCTCACTGCCACACCTCCCTCAGTGAGGCCTTTCTGGACCACCCAGCTACAAATTGCCACACGCAGCCGCAGCCCGCCCCGTCCGCATTCTCCACGTCATTTCTCTCCATGGAGCGTATTGCTGGCCAATATCCTACACAGTTTGCTTATTTGTTTTATTGTCTCCGTTCTCTCACTACAGTGTAAACTTCAGAAAGGTAAACATTCATGTCTGTTTTGTTTGGTGATGTGCCTAGAGCGCCTGTGATGGAGCCTGGCATGTATTTCAGTGAGTGAAGGACAAGAACAGCTAATAACTACTGAGAACATACATATTCCATGTGCTGCTCTCTGAGGGCTTTACATGTAGCAGCTGATTTAATTTTCCTTATAGTTCTACGAGGTAGATATTATTATTATTATTATCCCTAGTTTACAGATAAAGAAAACTAGAGGCATAGAAAAAGCATGACCTTATTCTAAAGCAAGAAAGGCAGTTTCACTCCTGGTTTGCTAGAGTAAGCTCCCAGTGCACCACCCTGTATAAACTCTGGGCACACGGCGTGTATTGGTCTGCTAGGTCAGCTGTTAAAAAGTACCACAAACCCAGTGGCTGAAACACCAGAAATGTACCGGTCCACAGTTCTAGAAGCAGGAAGTACAAGAGCAAGGTGTCAGCAGCGTTGATTCTTTCTGAGGGATGTCAGGGAGAATCTGTTGCAGGCCTCTCACCTAGCTTCTGGTGGTTTCCTGGCAGCATTTGGCATTTCTTGGTTTGTAGAAGCATCGGTCCAACCTCTCCCTTCATCCTCACATTCTCTCTCTCTCTCTCTCTCTCTCTCTCTCTCTCTCTCTCTCTCAGTAAGTGTGTGTGTCCAAATTCCCACTTTTTATGGATACCAGTCACATTGGATTAGTTCCACCCTGTTCCAGTATGACCTCATCTTAACTTAATTATACCCTGGAAGTTAGCGCTTCAATATATGAGTTTTTGAGGACACAATTTAAACCATAACACTACAGAAAACAACTACCTGAAGTTGAAGACTACAGAGAGTGAAAAAAGCAGGCAGATTGCAGGAAAGTGGAAATTTGGAAGATGGGACCATACTTAGCTGAGTTTCCTGTTTTCCAGATTTACCCCAATGTCAGGCCGGTCAATGTTGCTGAGACAGGTGAAACACTGACAGGAAACCCTGTCATCCTTGGTTCAGGAACCTAGAGTTGGGCAAAAGCAAATATTCCCTTGTGATAGAGATTAGTTCAGGAAAAAAACATGTGACTTAACATGGGCCCCTGAGATACATGAAGAGTTCCTGGGGGCTTCTGGGTTAAGCTTTCTCACTCTTAAGAAAGAACAACAGGAAGAGATGCTTTTTCTTCCTTTCATGGTTGATTTGTGTAGATATGTGATCCAGACTAGTGGAACCATATTCTGACCAGCCTTAAAATAATACAAGCATGGAAGATAGAGAAAAGAGAACTGAAGTTGTAACTACTAGATCAATTAACCTGAATTTTTGACTTTCAGTCAAAAGTGCTCAACTTTTTGACTTTCAGTTGTGTATGAGTACATATTTGTCTGTGTTTAAGCCAATTAGAGTTGGGTTTTCCATTGCTTACAGCTGAAGGTATTGTAATTGCTACACCACCAATACATAAGTTCTAGTTTTTAAAATCATGTTTATTTTTGTCATAATTTTGTGGCATTAAAATATATTGTGATTTCATATATCGTTTAAAGAACTTATGTTTTACATTTGCTTCTACTGGGACAGTGCCCAATGATGACTTCTCTACCACCGGGTTTCAGAGGATAGTTCTTAAAAGGAAGATGGAAGCTCTTGAATGATGCTCTGTAAATTAAAATTTCGTGTCAGAGAAAAGTAGCTTATAATGGATCTATTAGAATTCAGAACATTTATGTATTTGTGATTTCCAGTTATTTTCATTTGGGTAGTGAACCCAAAGTAGAAGATACTGAAAACGCTCCAATTTTCTTGGGAATAAGCAAGTACACTGCAAAGAATTACACCAGCAGATAATCTCCAAGACTTATGTGAGCCAGGTCGTCTTCATGTCTAGCCAAGGAGCTATTAATAGTTAAAAATGAATGGACTGGGCCAGTTTGACATTTATGACTTGTTTTCCCTACCTCTAGACAGAAATCATGCTGAGTATAAAGATGTTTGAAAAAGAGAGAGAAAAAGAAACATAAGAAAAAGTAGCATGTAGAAGCAGAAGCAGTAAAAATAATGGACTTTTCACAAATAGGAATCATTAGCCCCTGAATATGTGAATTGGGTTTTTTACATCTTAAAAATAGAATTCTCAAGTAGAAATTTAAATGAGTCTTTAAAAGATAATTCATATGACAATGTTTGGCGTTTCTAGCTGTATACTTATAAACTTAGCCAAGTTTTTGTCTAATGAAATGTATGTTCAAAACTCTTAACACAAAACACATTCAAAACATTCTTTGGTCAAATAATTAGCTATTTTTTTCTCATGTGAGATCATTCAGAGTTTGCTAAAAATGTATTTGTATATTTCATATCATTTGTCTTACTGAGCAGCTCTCTTATTGTCTTCTAAAGATGTCCCTTTAATCTTTTTGGTTAGTTTATCTTTGCTTCCTTAGTATTAATTTAGTATCAACATAAAATATGTGGTCAGTATACATCCTAGTAGACTTGGAATAAACAGTTCAGCTCTGGGCTCCTGTAGCTAGAGGATATGATGGGATATCCAACACTCCACAGTGCAGAAAAAACTCTAAGCTCAAATACAATCTGGAAATTATCATTTGGCCCAAAGGAAAGAAACCCCGAAACAAAGTCCAGAGACACATGAAAGAATAGTTGGAGGCAGACAGAAAACGTGGGGCCGTTCAAATAAAAAAACAGAAGGAATTCCTATACTGTAATTGTATCAGGCATTATACCAATATTACTAAAGGGAATACTGCTTAGCATTCAGTGACTAAGATTGCTGTCATTTAAAACCCGAACTATAAACAATTAGTATTAAATGATCTGGCATAACATCAGAATCGTATGGATTTCAAAGGAGAAAGTCAGAAGAAATTGGATGGTGAAAGAATAAAGAGCTGGACCTAGACGAGAGCAGAACCGATAAATGTCATTGTCACACCTGTCAAGGCTTGCATCGATTTCTAGTGAGAGAAAACTGAGAACTCACTGAGTATAATTTAGTTTGCTGAATATAATTAAGAAAATGGAATATATTTTTTATTCAGTAAAGATCCTTATTGTTGCCTTCTTAAAGTTAAATAACAAGCCCAAAGATGGATTTATGGACCAGACAGTTTCAGTGAAGATTTCGTATCTATTGTAGACAAACAAGGTAAGTATCCCTCAAATCTTACAGAATGGTGTTCAAACAGACACGTGCCTGCCCTGCACCTGACCTGTTTCCTGGGCTTAAGCCATTTCTGTTTCTTGTGACTACTGATACATTTGGACATTTTTCTCTTTGCTTAGTGTTTAGTTCATAATTATTACTTCTTCCTTACAAGGAAAGAACTTTAACATTGACTTATATCCACTGGTCTTTGTCTCTCCTTCTTGTTCACATTATTATAATTATGAGTTGTTTTAGATATACTTCCTTTTTATGTGTGTGTGTGTGTGTTCCTACTTTTAGCAAAGTTGTTAGGGAGGGCAAAGAAAATGTTGGTGAGGGCATCCTCTTCATTGCCAGCCTTACAGCTACCATCCCATCCATTTTTGCTTCCTTATGTCTCTCAACTGCCATTGTAATTGAGAACGCTGAGCCCACTGACTCCCGGGTTTCCGATGAGCGTGTTATTACTTTCCTGCAGCACTGCGTCTCCTCGTGAAGTGTTCTGAGCCACTGCTTCCTTTTCTTTAGTTCATCCATCAACACATTCTTTCATTCTGAAATATCTTATTCTTTCGTGCTGAAATATCTGCTGGTGATTTTCCTTACCTTTCTCTTCATTGTTGCAGGTGGATTTCTATCTTCAAATTTTGTATTATAATTTCCATTCAGATGTCAGGAGGAACAGGTGTGTTTGTCATTTTAAATCAGAATTTTCTCAGTCATCATCTATATTAGGGACACCCACATCTCAGTCTCAATTCTAAAGCTCTTTCTTGAGTGCCAGGCCCACATAGCAACACTTTTTTTTTTCTGAATATTTTTATTTGGTCATCTCCCAGGGTATCTCCCAAACTCAGTGAACCACAAACTGAAGTTTTCTTTCTTTTGCCAAATTGATCATATTGTCTATTGGGCAGACAGTGGCAACACCTTTCCCCCAGTTGCCCAAGTCAAAAACCTGAGTGTCCAGGTCATCACCCCCATCCCATTTACCACCCTCCTAGTCACTCAACAAGTTTTTTCAATTATACCTCCTAAATATCTCTTAAATATGTCTATCCCCAACTATCAGGTTTGCCATAGATTTTTTTTTTTTTTTTTTT